GGAAAGAGTTCCTTAAGCTGAGGGAACAGCAGCGAACACCCAAATCCCAACAAACAAATGGGTAAAAGATTGTGAACAGTCTGTAGAATACAAAAATCCAATACCCATTTTTAAAGGTTTCAGCTTTTCAGTCATCTAGGAATTATAAAATAAAATGACAGATTTTATGCCTCTCACATTAGGAAATTTAAAAAAAATGATAATCTGTTGATAAAGGTATAATGAAATGAACACAAGGATACTGTTGACAGAAATATAAGTTGATAAAATTGTTCCCAAAAACAATTTAACAATATGTGCTAAGAGTCTTAAAGGAGTTCATATGCTCTGACCCTGTAATTTTACCTCTATGAATCTATTCTTGGGAAATACTTTTAGAGATACTAATTTAATATTTGCGCATGAGAATGTTCACTTCTGTCTCATTTATAATGGTTTAAAAAACAGAATGGATCAATGGCCAGCAAGGGAATGGTTAAGTGAATTATGATTTAGCCACAAGATATTAGGTATCTGTGTTTGGCAGAATTTTTTTTTTTTTTTTTTTTTGTGGTACATGGGCCTCTCACTGTTGTGGCCTCTCATGTTGCGGAACACAGGCTCCGGACGCGTAGGCTCAGCGGCCATGGCTCACGGGCCCAGCCGCTCCACGGCATGTGGGATCTTCCCGGACCGGGGCATGAACCCGTGTCCCCTGCATCGGCAGGCGGACTCTCAACCACTGCGCCACCAGGGAAGCCCTGGAAGAATTTTTTAGTTGCAAGTAACATAAATCAAATTCAAATTCACTTAAACAAAACGGCAAATTCATTGCTTCAGTGAAGGAAACTACAGAAAGAGTAGAGATGGTGCTGGCCTCAGGGATGCCCAGATCTAGGGGCTTGAACACTATCAAAATTCTCCATCCCACATCTGCATTCTTTTTCTGTATATTGTCTTCATTATCCCAGGATATGTCTAAGAAGCTGAGCTGATGACCATAAGCATCCTTAGGCTCTCATCCTTACAGGCTTGTGACCCACAGGAGAGAGTTACTCCCTGCCCATTGCAGTTAGAAAAATCATGAAGAATGACTCTAATTGTCTGGTGTGGGTCCCATGTCCATCACTGAACCATCACTGTGTCCAGGAATAGGATAGTATGACTGGCCTAGAAAGAGTCTTTTCCAGAAAGCAAGAAGCAGTGGTAAGATGGGGTGCTCAGTAGACTAAAACAATAATACTTTAACAGCTAAAAATCATTTCTGGACATCTTTAATTGCATGAAAGATGATCTTGTATGATAGCTATTGGAAAATTCCAGATTAAAAGTGCATTGTGTAATATGGTACCTGGTTTGCAAAGAAATCATATATACACACATACATGTTAATGCAAACATATACACACACATATACAAGTGATAATAAAAGACAGTACAAATAAATCAAAATAATAATAATAGTTATTTCTGAGTGGCAGGATAATAGGTGGTTTATATTTATTTATGTGTTTATGCTGTATTTTTCTGTATTTTCTACAGGTTTAGAAATGAGCACGAATTATTAAGAAAAAATGTATGCAAATAACAAATAGCCTAGAATAATTTTTCCTCAAGATACCTTTATAAAGAAGTGTTTATAGGCCTAAGTCTTACTATCTTGAGAGCTTCTGAGAACTGTTAATGAAGTGATTTTTACAAGATTTTGAGCTATTTTCCTCTTGTTCTAGAATATTGGAAGTGGAAATGGCAAATAAAATGACATTTGCGATACAGAGCCATTCATTCTGTAGAGTCTAATAATTAACGCTAAGCAATTCTTTACATTATCTCTGAAGTTTTCACATTTGGAAAATAATATGAAGTTTTTGTGCTGTTTTCTTTTTTCCCACCTTAAGCTCCATGTTAATGTGGTTCAAGCACTGAGCTTTGATCCTGTAGACTGAAGATAAATTCCTGTTTCTGTTAGCTACTTGTGGGATGTTCCACCAGCCAGTTTATCTTTCCAAGCTTTGATTTTCTCATCGGTAAATTGATTGCATCAAACTAGTCAAAAAAAAATTGAATAATTCTAACTAGGATATATGTGTCCTATGAACTTGTAATGTGTAAGAACTTTTAATGTGTAAGATAATTAGCTGGAAATGCTGCTCCAATGAAAAGGATTTTGGAGGAGAGAAACAAAGCGGAGTTTGCTTTTAGTCATTACTGAAAGGAAAAGTGTCATAACACTGGTTATACAGAGACCCTTCATCTCATGGTTTACTTGAACAATGGCCAAGCATAGCAGTCTTGGGCAGATGGAGAGGGCCTAGGGCCTGGTGTTAAAGCTGAACACTAAGGAATCAGATGCCTCAGGTGCTGACCACGGCACACCAGGACACAGAGGTTTCAGGCAGTCTAGACCAATGCTTACTAATAGAGGCAGTAAGATGGAGTGGTAGGGCATGGGGCATTGTGACAGGTGGGTAGGGCACAGCTAGGGGCCACATAGAGTGGACAGTGCCTACTACATTAGGTTTAGTTTTAGGACTTAGTTTCTTGGCTAAAGGAACTAGCAAAACAAAGGCAGGGCCCCAGCCTGATCCCAACTGACCCCTGAGAAGACTGGGGTCCCCTGCAGGTTTCAAAGTGAAGCCTAATTAAAAGAACAAGTGTAAAAACAGAGCTGGGTGTAAGGAGTGCTGCTTAGATGCAGGACAAGAGCACTAATCATAATGCACTACTGCTAAGCCCAATGGTATTAGTTTGGAAGGGTTCAAATGCTGAAAAATAGACTGCGTCATAGAAAAAGGGGGCAATGATCTTATCTGTACTTTGTTAGAAACATATGCCAAGATCCCTAATAATAATCGATTGATAGAGAACTTATTCCTCAAAAATAGAGTTTTCACACCCAATTTGTTCTATACATTTTCAAAAAGATAGGTAGATACAGATTTTCAAAAAGTTTTCTTATATTCTCACTCATATAGTTTTGAACAAGTGTTAGTGATAAATTAGAGAATGAGGGTTTACTGTTAGTAAGCTTAAATGGTTTCTGGTTTGAGGATAAGTTAGGATGGCAGTGAAGTTCACTGGGCTGGGTTGCTATATCTTGCTAACCAGAATTCTCCTTACAGACGATGGCATTTCTGCATCGTTTACAAGCGCCAAGTCTGTATTCAGCAGAAAGGCCCTGGTGAAGATGCAGCTTTTGAAGGATGTTGTGGGAAATGACACATACAGAATAAACAATAAATACGATGAAACATACCCACCACTCCCCATGGAAGAAGTCATGCAGCGGTCAGAGTTTGTTGCTGGACAGGAGGTGGAGTATGACTTACTTGTCAACAACTGTGAGCATTTTGTGACTTTGCTCCGCTATGGAGAAGGAGTTTCAGAGCAGGTGAGTCTTCTCTAGGAGAAACGGAAGTTTCTTACATTGGGAAAATAATAGCTACTGACTATGATCAAGTTTTCAGGCCTCAAACAAATGGAAAAGAACAAGAAAATATGAGAACACTGAAGGACAAAGGAGGGAATCGAGTTGCCCAAGTTCAAGCAGCAACTTCATGACCACACTGAGACTAGATCATTCGTATCATGAATTTGGGTTAGAGGGGACTTGAAGCAGAGTCAAGACCATAGCTTTCTGTCATTCTTATTGCCCTCTGTCCTTCAGTTTTTTTCCCATTACCCCACCATACAGCAATTAAATCAGTAACTTTATATACTGAAAAAAATATGCTGAAAAGAATGCTGACATTTTTGAGTGGGAGTTCATATGCTGAAAACATAGATGGTAAGAGGGAGATCCTTTTCCATTAGCTGAAAGAGGCTAACTGATGCCATAGCTTGGTGGCTTTGCAGATGTCTTCTGTTTCCTTGCAATGCTAGTTTCAAATAAATGTTGTGCTTTTGAGGAGATCCTTTGATTCACTGAGCTTTTGGAGGATTTTCAGTGAATTAATTGACTTTTAAAAAAATTATTTATTTTTTGGTTGCACCGGGTCTTAGTTGCAGCAGGCAGGCTCCTTAGTTGTGGCTCCAGGGCTCCTTAGTTGTGGCATGTGAACTCTTAGTTGCAGTATGCATGTGGGATCTATTTCCCTGACCAGGGATTGAACCCAGGCCCCCTGCATTGGGAGCTCGGAGTCCTATCCACTGTGCCACCAGGGAAGTCCCTGGTGGAGGACTTCCCCCACCAGAGGAAGTAGCTTATAGTTTTGTTATTTACCATCACTATTCGGTAGTATGTTAGATTCCTCACTAAAAGCATGCCCTTTCCTTACCTATCTTCCCACCAATCCAATTCCATCACTGATGTTTTAACCTAAAGATTTATTAAAGTGGTGTGAGAAAATGAATATATAAAGGCTTCCAGTGTCTTTAAATGGTGGATCTGTTATATAAATGTCTATTCTGAGGAATGAAGTTACAATTCTGCTCACGAAAGCTTGGGAAAATGGGAGATGGAACATAATGAAAGGATACATTTGTTTTTATTAAGAAGTAATTTAATTGGAAATTCATTTTTATTAGGAAGTCCATTACCATAATGAATGTTCTATTCACATGTAGCAATAAATTGCTTCTGATCCAAAACACAGAGGACATGCACACAAGTTTCAGCTCACCTTTGCATTGAAAAGTAGTGGTATGGCTAAGAAATAAAGTTTGTTAAAGACAAAGTTGTCCACTGCCCTCAATCAGTATTTTTTTTTTTAATGTGGCTAAATCAAAAGGAATTAGAGCCTTTTGCTTTGACTCTCACTTGTATAATCTATCATCTTTCCGCTTTTCATACCCAGATCAAGACCCATGAAAAAGTAACCATTTTTTTAACAACTAATAGAACTGTTCTTTAGCAGGTTCTGATGAAGATGGTGTAGTGACAGCCTTAAGGACACACCTAAGCTTTGGAATTCTGCTGATCTGAGCTAGAGCCCCATCTTCACCACTTCATAGCTGGATGACTTTGGACACATTGTTTATCAGTTTCCTAATCTATAAAGCGAGGTTGTTTTATAGATTGTTAGAGATTTTTAAAGCCTCTTAGCATACTCCGTTACATATTATTCATCCCAATAAAAAGTGTACTTTCATAGACTACTTTTAATTTCAGTATTTTAGCAATTTTATAGATCTTTGTTGACACTCTTCAGTAAAATTCTGTTGATCTAACAAACTACAGCACTCGAATTGTTATTTTTATTTCTATCAATAATTAATGGTGTTAGTACTAATAATAACTAATATTAGATTTGCTTTCCAGGGTCCCTTTAAGGCTTAGGGGTCTTGAGCATAGAACAGTATCCTTGGGAAATGGCTGTGTATTTCCCCCAATTTAAAAAACTATAAATACATAAAAAGGTTAGAAAGGCGGAAGGATTGTGGCCCCATCTTTTTCTTCTTTGTACTTTTCTGTATTTAAAAAAAAAATTAATGGACTTTACTTTTTAGAGTAGTTTTAAATTCACAGCAAAATTGAGCTGAAAGTATAGAGAGTTCCCACATACTCCCCCTCCCACACACATAAATGTGTCCTTCCCCACTGTCAACATCCTACAGCAGTGTGGTATATTTGTTACAAAAGATGAACCAACATTGGTACATCCTTATCAACCAGAGTCCATAGTGAAGGAAACCAGAATATGCCACCCCCATATATGTCAGTTTGGCATAAGGATTATTTTGAGCAATTGAGAGACAACTGAGTAGAAGCGGATGCAAGAAAAGCTCTCTGCCCTCCCGCTATTTACCTAAAAGCAGGACATAAATTTTCAAAGGTGTTCCTCCTCCCCACTGTACCAGGAAGAACAAAAGTTAATCATCAGGGACAACCAGTGGTTAATGTAAGACCCTTATCAGCCTAGAGAGGGCACTAGAGGTATCTACATAACAAACTACTCACAAGCCTCTGTTTACCATTATTTTCCTGTATGTTTACCTTCCCACAGACTGTTGCCCTTGGAAGGTGAACCACTTTCCTGTGTCCTGTCATTTCTCTACAAATTTATTATTCTTTGTTGAAGATGTTATATAAGCCTGAATTCTTTGTTTCTTATTTTATTTATTTATTTTTATGCAGCAGGTTCTTAGTTATGTATTTTATACATATTAGTATATATATGTCAGTCCCAATCTGCCAATTCATCCCACCACCACCACGCCCTGCCACTTTCCCTCCTTGGCGTCCATACGTTTGTTCTCTACATCTGTGTCTCTATTTCTGCATTGCAAACCAGTTAATCTGTACCATTTTTCTAGATTCCACATATATGTGCTTATATACGATATTTGTTTTTCTCTTTCTGACTTACTTCACTCTGTATGACAGTCTCTAGGTCCATCCACATCTCTACAAATGACCCAGTTTCGTTCCTTTTTATGGCTAATATTCCACTGCATATATGTACCACATCTTCTTTATCCGTTTGTCTGTCAGTGGGTGTTTAGGTTGATTCCATGACCTGGCTATTGTAAATAGTGTTGCAATAAACACTGGGGTGCATGTGTCTTTTTGAATTATGGTTTTCTCTGGGTCTATGCCCAGTAGTGGGATTGCTGGGTCATATGGTAATTCTATTTTTAGTTTTTTAGGGAACCTGCGTAACATCCTCCAAAGTAGCTGTATCAATTTACATTCCCACCAACAGTGCAGGAGGGTTCCCTTTTCTCCATACCCTCTCTAGCATTTGTTGTTTGTAGATTTTCTGATGATGCCCATTCTAACCAGTGTGAGGTGATACCTCATTGTAGTTTTTTTTTTTTCCCGGTATGCAGGCCTCTCACTGTTGCGGCCTCTCCCATTGTGGAGCACAGGCTCCGGACGTGCAGGCTCAGCGGCCATGGCCCATGGGCCCAGCCACTCCGCAGCATGTGGGATCCTCCCGGACCGGGGCACGAACCCGTGTCCCCTGCATCGGTAGGCGGACTCTAAACCACTGAGCCACCAGGGAAGTCCCTTATTGTAGTTTTGATTTGCATGTCTCTAATAACCAGTAATGTTGAGCAGCTTTTCATGTGCCTCTTGGCCATCTATATGTCTTCTTTGGAGAGATGTCTGTTTAGATCTTCTGCCCATTTTTGATTGGGTTGTTTGTATTTTTAATATTGATCTGCATGAACTGTTTATATATTTTGGAGATTAATCCTTTGTCCGTTGATTCGTTTGCAAATATTTTCTCCCATTCTGAGGGTTGTCTTTTCATCTTGTTTATGGTTTCCTTTGCTGTGCAAAAGCTTTGAAGTTTCATTAGGTCCCATTTGTTTATTTTTGTTTTTATTTCCATTTCTCTAGGAGGTGGGTCCAAAAGGATCTTGCTGTGATTTATGTCAGAGTGTTCTTCCTAGGTTTTCCTGTAAGAGTTTTATAGTGTCCGGTCTTACATTTAGGTCTTTAATCCATTTTGAGTTTATTTTTGTGTATGGTGTTAGGGAGTGTTCTAATTTCATTCTTTTACATGTAGCTGTCCAGTTTTTCCAGCACCACTTATTGAAGAGGCTGTCTTTTCTCCATTGCATATCCTTGCCTCCTTTGTCATAGATTAGTTGACCATAGGTGCATGGGTTTATCTCTGGGCTTTCTATCCTGTTCCATTGATCTATACTTCTGTTTTTGTGCCAGTACCATATTGTCTTGATTACTGTAGCTTTGTAGTGTAGGCTGAAGTCAGGGAGTCTGATTCCTCCAGCTCCGTTTTTTTCCTGCAAGATTGCTTTGGCTATTCGGGGTTTTTTGTGTTCCATTTCTGTAAAAAATGCCATTGGTAATTTGATAGGGATTGCATTGAATCTGTAGATTGCTTTGGGTAGTATAGTCATTTTCACAATACTGATTCTTCCAATCCAAGAACATGGTATATCTCTCCATCTGTCTGTGTCATCTTTTTTTTTTTAATTTTTAATTTTATTTATTTATTTATTTTTATTTTTGGCTGTGTTGGGTCTTTGTTTCTGTGCGTGGGCTTTCTCTAGTTGCGGCGAGCGGGGGCCACTCTTCATCACAGTTGCAGGCCTCTCACTGTCGCGGCCTCTCTTGTTGCAGAGCACAAGCTCCAGACACACAGGGTCAGTAGTTGTGGCTCATGGGCCTAGTTGCTCTGCAGCATGTGGGATCTTCCCAGACCAGGGCTCAAACCCGTGTCCCCTGCATTAGCAGGCAGATTCTCAACCACTGCACCACCAGGGAAGCCCCTGTTTATGTCATCTTTGATTTCTTTCATCACTGTCTTATAGTTTTCTGAGTACAGGTCTTTTTCCTCCTTAGATAGGTTTATTCCTAGTTATTTTATTCTTTTTGTTGCAATGGTGAATGGAATTGTTTCCTTAATTTCTTTTTCTGATCTTTTGTTGTTAGTGTATAGGAATGCAAGAGATTTCTGTGCATTAATTTTGTATCCT